CTAAAGGAGCAGTAGATTGTAAAACTCCAACATTTTCTGTTGTTGTAAGGACAGTTAAAATTTAAATAACAATACTAAAATTCATCAAACTAAAATAAAATGAACAAAAAATTAAAATTAAAATTACCTAAAATTAAACTAAAATAAATTAATTTTAACTAAGAAACCTCTAAATAACTAATTTCAAAATAAAAAAAAAAATTTTCTAAAATTGAGCTTAAAAAAATTCATCAAAGTGACACAAAATTAACTAGATTAATCAAACTAACATAAAATTAACTAAATAATAACTTTATTTAAGATTCAATTAAAATTAACTTAATTGAACTAAACTGTCGAGAATCTGGGCCCTAGGAGCAAATTAATCAAATCAAATTCAATTATATATTTAATATTAGGCTTATAATGAGTTGGGCTTACCGTTAACACAAAATGACCTAAGCCATTTTGATTGGTTCACCCTTCACATTATATACCCTTTCATTTAGTTGTATTTATCCGATGTGGGATTACCCATATACTCCAACATAAACAATCTAAAAAACAATTAAACTCGTTTAATTTACCTATTAATTAACTAAAATTATATAATTTCAATAAAACAACCTAAAACTAACTACATTTAACAAAAATAATTTAAAATTTAGTTCAACACTATTAATTAATATAATTAATACTAACATAAATCAAACTGAACTGCATGGAAAAAAAAATATTTCTGTCGCTTTGTCCATTCCTAAGTAGAATCCACTTTTTAAATTGCTAACTTCTTTATGGACAGAAACAAATAAAGGAAAACCGTTTTCTATCTGTGTACCAAAACTGTACATTTTGCAATTTTTTTTTTGGTAGTATGCAAATTTTAAATAATAATAATTAACTCTCATAAAGATGCTCTATTCCATCCTATATATACCATGAATCATGACAGAATCATTATTTTTTTTTTAAGGAAGTTGAGTGATTTACGTTTCTGTAAAATGATAAAATAAATAAATTATTACTACTGAAAGTGCTATCTATCATTATTAGGTATGATTGTTATTCTATAAAATATATAAAATTACCGGTTATGCTTGCTAATAATTTATATTTATAAATGAGGAAAACAACAAGTGTGACTTGTAATATTGGAAAATTATACTGCTTACCCAATCAAATTAATGAAATTAATAAAAATAAAAGATTTTGTTCTTCATAAAAAAAAGAATTTACAATCTCTTAAAAAAAAAAAAAAAAATTTACAAGTTTTTTTTTTTTTTTTTTTTTTAAAAAAAAAAGAATTTACAAGTTTTTTTTTTTTTTTTTTTTTTTGTTGTGTGTGTTAGTATAAATTTCTCTGCATGCTCAAGTTAAGGGGTTGGACCTTTCGAACTTTAAATAGTAGTAGCTTCAGGTTTTGAACCTCCTAAATCTCTGCTTTGTAGGTCAGAATTACCTAAAATTTACTGATAAGGTCCCGTTTTTTTCGGTAAAATAACTTGCAGTAAATTATGCTCGAGTTTTTGCACATAATTTTTCATTATTTGATGGGCTATTCATTTTTTTTTTTTTTTTTTTTTTTTTTTGTTGTGTGTGTTAGTATAAATTTCTGCATGCTCAAGTTAAGGTGGACCTTTCAACTTTAAATAGTAGTAGCTTCAGGTTTTGAACTCCTAAATCTCTGCTTTGTAGGTCAGAATTACCTAAAATTTACTGATATAGGCTCCGTTTGTTTTCGTAAAATAACTTGCAGTAAAATATTTTTTATAATTTTTCATTATTTAGGGGCTTTCAAGAAAATAAGTCAACAGAAAATATTTATCTGGTCAAATGAAAATTAAATCATATTTAAAGAAAATGACTTTTTATTTTCAAAAGCGTAAAACATTTTTTGGACTTTGACAAACTTATTATAACCTTATAAATTCATATTTTTTAATTTATTAATCATCGGTAACCACTATCATCACTCACCGTTCACCATCGACCACCGCCACCTACCACCATTATCGGTCACCGGTGACTTTTATAATTTGCCATTTTTTTGTATTATTCTCATATTTAATAATAAAATTTTTAAAATACGAAATTTATATTGTTATTATATTATGAGTTAAAAATTTTAATATTTTTATTTAATTTTCAATATTACAATTAAACAATTGAAAAATAAGTTATTTGAAAAATATTTTTCGAGTAAAACATTTTTCTTGAAAAATATTTTCCAAAGGTAAATTATTTTCCGGAAATAAACGAAGTCTAATCACTTATTGATTACCACATGGTTAAAATTATCGGAAAAGAAAATTTGTCAAATTAAATAAAAATATATATCTAGCTATAATAAATATATAAATAATCAAGCACCCACCAATTAACTGTTGGAATTAATTTACTTAAATATAACTTACTTATCATTCACCCACTCCATAATCATGAAACTCCATTAAATCCCTCCAACCTCTCCTATTAATCTCACCATATACACGTTTAACACAAAAATAGATTTGGGTTTTGGAGTAGTTTTAATGGCCTTTAATTCATGTCTTCCATTGGAGCTGAAGTGTATGTGATTAGAGAGAGGCTAAAGGAGAAACTGAAGAAAGCCTAAGAGGAAAGAAATAGAACCGGCGGAAATGTTTCCACCGGAGAAAGGAAAGTCTCTACTTCTTCTTCTTCTTCTTCAAGTAAAGTAAGCAGCAATAAAGTCCATCCTGGTAATTTTCCAGGAAATTAAACAATTAGGAGCATGATGTTCTTAAAACGTACATTTTCTGTTGTGGCCTTACAGTACTCCCTTCGTTTTGGGCAAATATTGAGCGCATTCTTAAAATTTTCGTTCGTGAATCTAAGTAGTCCTTCCATGCAATATGCAGAATATTTTCCTTTCAATCACTAAAAAAAAAACCACAGAGAGCCGAGAGAAATTTTTCAAAATGACAAAACTGCCCTTAACGTCAAAAGACATAAGCAACTCATCCAGTATTACGTTTCTTCAATGCTTGCCATGAACAGTCAATACCATCCCAACAATTAGACGAGCCTGGAAAACCAAAATCAGCAAAACCCAAAGCTTATCAAAACTCCTAAAATATTTCAAAACCACCTCTGCTCCTTAAACCCATTCTTGCCTACTCTCTTAGCCTTCTCAACTGTTGCAAAATGATTATAACCAAAACTAATAGTCCATAACTTAATACTATTATAGTATAATCCATAATTTGTTAATAAGATTAAACTTTGAAAGAATTCATGTTCAGTCAGGAATACCAAGCCTGCTTGCCATTGCCATGGCTTTCATGAGCACTCAAGTGGTCTCTCCCTCTTCTCGATCGTCGATTACCTTACTGACTTCGCTTCGCATCTGGCGCCAATTTCTCTCACCAAAAGCAAAAGCAACAACACCAACTGTTCTGTAGGCCTCCATCGCTCGAAGTCGTTAGCTCCGCTAACATGCAACCTGTTCGACTCTGAGGCGACAAGTGCTTCTATTTGCTGAGGATGAGAAAAGGAGGTGGTGATCAACGGCGACATTTTCAAAGAGGTGAGAGTAAAGGCGAGAATAGAGGAAGGACAAACTGAGTGGATCGGGTTTGAATATTGGATTTTAGCTCCGGTGGTGGTTTGGTTATGGAGACGAAGTTCGACGGCGACACGGTGATGGTTTATGGCGGCAAAGAGCGACATTGGGCTGAAGGAGGCGAAGAGAATCTGAATTTTTAGAGAGAATTGAGATCGACATGGCTAAGAATTTTATAAAGATTAAATTTTCCTTTTTACCGTTAAAATTAATGAAAAAAAGTATATTTTTCAACCGTATGATTAAGAATCACGAGAAAGATAAATATAAGGACATTATAAATATATTTACAAAAGAATGTGCTATTTAGATAATTATGGTAAGCTTCACGTACGAAATAATTATTTTTCCTAATTCTTATCGATGAGTTTTGGGTTGAATTCAATTCAGACTATTCAATTTCTTAATTATGTTGAATTTAATCGTGACAATAGTAACTCTAATTGGTTGACCTGACAATAAAATCAGACCGAAATCTAGTTAGATTGATGACTAGATTGCAGTTAGATTAAATTAATTCGGTTCTATTGGGTCTTTACTTTTTTATATTTTTATAAGTAATTAATAAAATATAGTCATGAATAATTTTATAATGAAAAAGTAATAATATAATTAATGTGTATAATTATTTTTCAAACCATTTATCATAATCAATTTGTAACTATTGATTTTTATTTATTCAAACCAAATATTATATGGTCAAGATATTAATAAACATATCAAAATATAAGTCATAATAATTTAAATCTATCCAAACACTGCAATTTAACTATGTAATGTGGTTACATAGTTGATTATATTCGACCAATTGTAGCCTTTGGATTAGATTTTGACACCTAATTAAAATTTTTTTTTTCACCATATAGCTTGATGCATTCATTTTCATTTTCACACCAAAGATTAGGAGTATTTTAGATATCCAATCTTCATTAATTAAAAAAATCTTATTTTTATTGTCTGAAATTAAACCTATTGAGTAAACTATTTTTATGTTACGGTTGGGTAAAGAGAAAATGTTAGAAAATCATTAAAGAAAATAATAAAAAATAATTAACTCTAAAAAATAAAAAAATATATACTTCGTCCGTCCTAAAAAGACAGTTCATATTTTTTTTTTGTTTGTCCCAAAATATAATCCACTTTTTTTTTTCTATATTAAGTTAATTCTTAAATTGTCTATTTATCATTATTAAATTTTATCTAATTTTCAATAATTCTAATTAATTTTTATTTATAATTTTAATGTAATAATTATTCATGTGTTATTTAATATGAATATAATAAAAAAATTATATAAATAAAATTATCAATTTTTTTTTTAATCTGTGTAAAAAAATGAAAAGTAGACTGTCTTTTTTGACAGAGTAGTAATACTAACAGAGAGAAAATAATTTTCTTTCTTTCTTATATATAAAAGGAAAATATTTTCCATTTTTCTCTTAACTTTCTCGATGAGAAAAATACTATTCCTCACACCGAAACCGAAAAAGGAGAAGCCTTGTAAGAAATGAGAGTTTCTTTTCTTGGTATCAACGAAGACCCACTTTTTATTTCCAATTATTTCGTTAGAAATCCCTTCAAAATATTTCCTTTCCAGTCCAATTTTTTCAGTTACAAAAATCTCCTCCTCTTCAATCAACAAACCAGCAAATCCAATCCAATGGAGTCTATTGGCCAACAAGTGGTTCTAATCTCTGGTTGCAGTCAAGGAGGCATAGGCTACGCGTTGGCAAAGGAATTTGCAGCCAATAATTGCATGGTTGTGGCGACAAGTAGGTCCTTGAATTCCATGAGAGATCTTGAACAAGACAACAGATTCTATCTTCAAGAACTTGATGTTTCATCAGATGAGAGCGTTCAACATGTGATGTCTAATGTTCTTGAGAAGTATGGGAGAGTTGATGTTTTGGTGAATAATGCTGGATTTCTGTGCGTTGGCCCTCTTGCTGAAATCCCTTTATCTGCTATGCAGAGCACTTTTAATACCAACGTCTATGGTAATTTTCTTGTCCAATTTTCTACTTGATCTAGCTTAAGTATTAAATTAATCAGAAGTGAAATGAATTTTGTGAGTTTTGAGGAAATTAAGCTTGATATTAGTTTAGGCATGGTACTGAAAGTTATAGAAACTTATTGCTATTTTGTTATGCTAGTCTTGTTTCAGTTTACTTGTTTTTCCATTCTGGATTTGCTCTTTTCCTCCTTTACAGTGGCTTTTGGGGCATATTATTTGAAATTAGACAAGTTGGAAGTTAAAACTATATAATAATATATATGGAAACTTATAACAATGAACATCAGTTCTTGATATTTGGATTAATGGTAATAGTCTATTGGCCAATCTATACCAACATTAGTGAAAACATAATAGTACCAGAATGAAGAAGGGACAGTTGGAAAGTTGATTGCTATAAAGGATATTCTGATTGCCTAAATTGTTCAATTTGATTATGCATTTAAGTTATACGATAAATTCACTTGGGAGTAATCGTAGGCCTGAGATAGACTGGGGACTTTGGGACCATGTTGTTATAGTCTCTTGACTTGAGATAAGACAGGAAAATAACTTTGGTGAGAGGTTTCAATTCTGTTGAATGTTTCATTCATTAGCTCAACTCTGGGTTGTACATTGTAATAAATGATGTCTTTTTACCCTAGATATTTGTGGCTGGTAGGACCATGAAGTCCTAAATTTCAGAAGAGTATATTATCTGGGTAGGAAGAGTTACATGTTCCTGAACTTGAAATCACTAGCCTAATCTTCCAGTCTTATCAAAAGCCTTTAGAAATCCCTTCATTCTCAGTGGTCAAGTACACTATCTTGAGGAATGATCAATATGGCCTTCACTCTCCCTTTGATTGGAGTTCTTTAAGATTGCTAAAAGTAGTCATATATTTCCATTTGCTGTTTTGCAACTTATTTTGAGAATCTGTGAATATTATATGAGGACATTGAATTCTCAGTGATTGCTTCAAAGCTTCATCTTCTATATAAATTTGACTTTGGGGAAAATTTGATTGAATATTCAGGCCTCTTGCTATGTCAAATCCTTGTCCTGCCAATGCTTTCACATATACTAAGACAAGCAAACCAGTGATTTATAAGCACATGCATTCTGGGTTTTTAAGGGCAAAGCCTCCTCGAAGAATTTTCCCTTCTGGAAAGCACTTAACTCAAGTCTTCTTGTTTACTCGCTGATAATGGTGTACTAAGTAGTGATTTGCTTTATGTTCCAACTCACTAGAATTGGCCAGGTTACTGTTTTTATACATTAGAGCACATTGTTTAGCCTCTCATAAATAGGTCATAGAGGGATTCCTTGATATCCCTTTTGGAAAGCACTCCCCTCAACGTATCTCACTCTTTTAATTAGAGATTTGTGGAAACATTGTCTGGGTGGTCAGTCTCATGAATATTGTTTTTGTTCTTCCTTTCCAGTAGAATGAACTTGGGGTCTATCATTACCTAATTGATTGTGTAAGCACTAGTTATCTTCAGTAGACATGCTATGCTATTTTTTTCTTTGCTTTTGTAATATTGTTGTCAAATGCCATGTAGGTCCCATGAGGCTTATTCAAGCTGCTGTTCCTCACATGGCATCGAGGAAAAGGGGAAAAATCGTAAATGTTGGAAGTGTTACTGTCTTGGCTCCCACCCCTTGGTCTGGTGTTTACACTGCAACCAAAGCTGCTCTTCATTCGCTGACAGACACCTTGAGGTTTGTTTATGGAAGTTTAGTTCATGCCTTCAATAAGCATAGTAGCACCTTGGTCCTTATACAAACCTGATTGTGTATGCGTGTACGTAAATGCACAGGTCTTAAACTTCAGCTGCTTACTATTTCTCATGGAGTTGATATTGGCATATCTTGATTTATTGATACTAAAATATTAGAGAATAACATATAGAAGTGAACCTTCATTGCTTTGACAAAATGCATTAGACATGAATCTCAATGTCAAATTTTTTGTAAATTACCAATATTTGAGACGCATTACTTATGTCCTCTACTTGGGATTCGTTGATGGGCAACTAAAAGTAACTTTTTTGAACTCTATATCAGGACAATATGGTTTTGACTTTTGATTGATAAAAATGCTCTCAAATGTAGATTTCTTCACCTTTTGGTTTAGATAAGCAAATGGAATTGCATTGGACTTAGTTTTTCTCAAAAACCTATTAGAACTCAAAGGTATAGGAAAAAATTCCTGAGAAATTCTCTAATGTCAATTTAAAGCCATTGAAAAAATTGCTTTATTTTTTCACACTAGAAATTAATAAACCTACAAAAAATGAAAAACTCATTTATGTACCTGTAAATTTTTCAGATTATGATGCTCACAATAAGCAATTTAATGTGGATAAATCAAAGTTTAGGGCCCCATGATGGGTTTTTCCAAGAATTATACATTGAAGATACTTTTGCAGAATTGTTAGGTATGGTGTTCATTTCATATTATAAATTTAGCTAATTGTTTTATGTTAAATGCAGGTTGGAACTGAAGCCATTAGGTATTGATGTTATCAATGTTGTTCCAGGAGCTATTAAATCAAACATAGGAAATTCTGCTTTGGCCGTCTACAACCAGATGCCTGAGTGGAAGTTATACAAGCAATTTGAACCACAAATCAAGGAGAGGGCATATCTTTCACAAGGAATCAAGTCCACCCCTGCAGAAGAGTTTGCAAAGAACACTGTCGCTGCCATTCTAAAGGAAAATCCACCCTCATGGTTCTCTTCAGGTCGTTACTCTACTGTTATGTCAATCATGTATCATCTGCCACTTTGTGTCAAGGATTTTATCACTCGGCTGAAGTTTAAAATTTGAAATCCACCCTTATGGTTCTCAAAAGTTTACATGCTGAGCCCTGGAGGTTTAGCTGAAGGCAAGTCCTTTTTATTCAAAAACCCCACTTTTTAACGTACAGTTACTTCTGTCGTTCTGTCATAGCCTAAAATTCTTCATATGCAGGTATATTATTGTAAGCTTTTTAACCCTAATAACCGCCTAGGCAATAGTAGTAGTCTTAGCTTAGAGCAACATAGAGAAATAATGTTTGCCATTCGTGATTTTGAATTCTTTTGTTGAACAATTATCATTATTAATTGGAATCTTTGGTATTGAGGTTTTCCCTTGTTTTTTTTCTGGGTCTTGCCTTTTGATATGCTTATATATTTAGTCTTGAATTTTGAATAGGAAGAGATTACTTGTTAAAATCCTAATGTACTCTCAAAAAAAAAAAAAAAAAAAAAAAAAAACAAAAAAATATAATAAAAACACAGAAAAAAAAAAAAAAAAAAAAAAAAAAAAGAGAGAAATCGTAATGCAAAGATGTATTATCCTTTTTCCTTTTTTTTTTTCTACAAAACATACAACTTTTTTACTTTGGCCTGTTGGATCAGTAAAACCTAAAATTTTATAGAATTTCAGCCTAAAGTATAAAAATCGTAAAATATTAATGTTTTTTGGTTAACCAAGCGGGCGGCCTTGTATAAAAACATTTTCAAATCCACTCAGCCTCAGGCCCTCAGGTAGCATCAAAAGTTCCAAACTGAAGTTGCATTGAATTTGAAAGCGCCCAAACCCGCCCAAGCTAACTCATCTATCACCTAATTGTTTCTCTGCAATTGAATATTTACAGTTTTGACAAGAAAAAATTCCTTTTAGTTATTTTCAGATTTCTATATATCACAAACTACTCCACAAACAAAATTTCAAAATACTGGAAAAACTGATTTTGCACTAAAACCATGGTCGTAATGACTAGGCTATCTACCCACCTAAAAAGGACATCTCTTTTACACTAAGAATGGGGAGGGTGACTGTAAAACATCATTCCAGGGGGCTGAAGAGGGCGAAAACTAGGACCCGGGGCTTGTTGAGTTAGGGGCATTGGTTGTTGCTGTGCCAATGGCATTGGTTGCTGCTGAGTTATTTGTGATGGTTGTTGAGTCAAAGGCACCATTGGACTCACCATATAGGGCGGGGGTGGCGGTGGCCCTGGTGGCATGGGGTTGCCATAACCATATGGGGTCATAAGGGGCCCCGACGGCTGCAAATATTGTTGGGAGGATGGGTTTGGTATTATGTGAAACTGAGGTTGAGAGCTTGTCGCCTGGTTCTGCATTGTAGGTGGTGGAGGTAACATAACTGATTGATAGGAATGGTTAGTCGGAGCAGAAAGCGACACTGCTGGCATAAACACACTGGGATCTGAAATGGGCACAGATTTTTCAGGCTTTGACAATGAATCTGTGACTGAATTCGCGGGCATGGATGTGTATGAATTTGATGGTGTTGAGGCTTTCGTCAAACGTGCATTCTTTGCTTCTTCAGCTGCAAATGTAGAAAGAACAGAGTGCATAATCATTTGAGAAGAGCTGGAAGCTGCAAGTTTATCAGCTACTTCAGCAGCAATGGCTGCAGCTGTTCTCTTATTTGTTTGTCCTGCTTTTGTATTTGGGTCGACTTGTAAGGATGTGGAAGTAGATGTGCTGGAAACATAATCTTCATCATTGAGCCGCTTTCGCATGTCGCTGGCTTCCTCTGCCTGCGCTTGTGCTACCTGAAATTGTCAAATGCTATTATATTTACAAGCAGTTTGTCAATTTTTGTCACATATTCATCCCTAATGACAACATTTTCTTGGGCATCCAAATCAATGCAGACCACCAAGAAGGTGATAAAAGCACTGATATTTTGTCTCACAAACCAAAGGCAATTTCAAACAAAATTTTACACCCAAAAGAAGCATATATCAAAATGAACATATTTAATTGTTACGACTGAAAAAAGATTGGCAAATTAGCTCGAGTCTTCATTAGCCCATCAAACTAATTTAAGCAGCATGACCACCACATAAAGGAGCTCACTGAAAAGTGGTTCTTCCTGCTTAAAACTTATCAGAGCAGCAAAATCCTTAAAATTTTATTTAACTGGAACATTAATTACATCTAGCAGCCTGCAATAGCTGTTTTGGGAAAATGGCCTATAGATTTGAATCCAACAACTTAAAATGATGAACAAACTTGAAAAACAGCAAATTTTATAAATGTGTCTGCAGTCATGAGAATGCAAAGACGTAGAAAGCAGTTCTTTGGTTTTCTGGTCAATATCAAGCACAAAGCTCCCTGGCAAAAATCATTTCCAATTTGATGAATTGGCATACTATCAATATTATAATATTTCCAAATTGATAATTGTGAAAAGAGAATCAAGTATCAACCATTTAGTTTCCTATCAACCATGCAGGTTTGGTTTTTCATATACAATATGTGGGAAAACAATACAGAATATAATATCTAAGAGTGTAAAATTTAATTGGCGTATAGAGATCAATGATTGTAAAACATCCACCAGAACTTCAACAGATTCATATCCTAGTACCTAATAGTTTATATTATAGCTTTATCAGTCTTGCACTTTAGCATTTGCATCAATTTCTATAACTTCTAAAGATAAGACAACTAAAACAAAGTATGAATTTCAACATGTTAGTGGCCAATCCCATATACATAGATCACTGACAATCAGGAGATCATTTCAAAAGCTGAAAATTAGTTCAGACTTAGTATCACTGCAAGAAAACACTATGCCATGAGTGAAGCGGGAGTATGATATCCATGAAGTCATGCAGATGTTCAGTACATATGTGCTATTTATAAAAACCCAACACCAAACAAGTCAAATCAAAAAATATCTTTAATGTAACCAATACCTGCATCTGAGTTCGAATGTTCTCCAGTTCAGATTCCTTAAAAAGAAAAATGAAAATTTCAGCACATAGAATTTCACAAACCCCCTCTCTCATGCATAATAGATAATGGATACACTACGGATAAATAGAAACATTTAAACAACAATGATGGTGAAAATATGATGGGTACCTGTTCATATAGAGCTTCTTTTAACTGAGACACAAGCACTACTCTATTTGCTTCAACTGATTTTAGTTTCTCAATACATTGTTTCAAAAGATTTTCTTCCTCCTCTAGCTCTTTTGCCAAAGTTTTTCTTTTAGGATCTTTTCCTGAAGAGCCAAAGAATTATACTTTAGACATCCAAAAATTTTGAGACAGCACAAGCTCTGGAAGTTTCTAGGAAAAATGTACAGGTGGCTGGAAAAACATTTCAAAGCGACAACTTCTTCCGTGTATTCACTTTATTTAACTTTTTCCTTACCATTACTACAGGCAATATCAACACCTTTCTCCATCTTCCTCACACGATTGACTGCAGACTTACAATTACTCATCTCTGCCTCCTCAGTGGAATGTTCACTGACCACCAAGTGAAATGCTGATACAATTTTTTCCGCAGCACCACCAATGGTCAATTTCTGGTTTCCGAAGCAATGATAGAATAGTGAGGCACATGTCAAAACAAATGGGAGATGGGCATGGAACACATACTTTTATCACTTATTGGAAAATAATATCACAAGATAAATGCAGAGAGAAAGAAATCCAGCACATGCGCAGAGAATGAAAAACCCAAATCTTTATGCTAACCGTCTTAATGGAGCGAGAATCCCGTTTCATAATTTTAACAGAGCGTGAACGTTTTTTGCTCAACTCCAATGGTGGAGGTGCATTTTCACCAAGCATTACTTCTGTGAGACTCTGGGCACGGGATCCAAATACTCTTCTTTCTTCCCATATATTTACCTAATACAAATATGAAGACTATTTTGATAAGATCAACCATATCATTCCCCTTTTTAGAAGATAATACAATATTGAGAACATAAGCAGCCTCATATGGGCATCTTGTGCTTGAGTCAATCATTAAATAATTATACACGAGAAATTAATAAATTGAGGGAAGAAAATTGTTGACACATTCTATTTTTGAATCAGTTGGCCCGGAAAATCAGAAATTAACTTACCAATCGAGAAACCACATTCTTGCCACGATCATCACCTTTCTCAACAACATCTTTGAGTGCCATAGGAAGAACCTTCCAAAACTCTGAGACAAATTCATTTCCTTTACGTTTACTGTTCTGCAAGATATCATTTGCAAGATACAACAGAGGAACTTTCTGAACCATCTCTGAACTTTGGAATTGTTTATCCCATGTTGCAACAACTTGTTCTGCTTTGCTTCGATGAAATATACACCAATGTGACAAAGCTACATAGCAGAGTCAAGGCAACATACTAATTGAATAAATAGTTCTTATGATAGCATAATAACCTTCCAGCAGGACAAAGAAATGGTGAAAGAAGGCAGTTCAATACTAAAAATCCACCTGGAATTTGAACTACGAGCGGCAAAATTAGCAACTATAGATGTCAGATGTGATAATTTGAAAGATTAGCATTTTAAGAAGAAAGTCATCACGGCTCCAATAAATATCCAAATGATAAGATTCAGGGATGCATTTCAATATTTCAACTTCATAAAGCAAAATCAGGAATTAAACAACATACAGCCTTCAACTAACTTCACTTTCTCAGCCATAAAAGGATTGAGGACGCCTTCAACAAGAAGCTACACAATTCACTCACCCCCAAAGAAAAAGTCAACAAAAGCAAAAGGATACTTTCAATACATTGTTGAGTGCTGTTGAGCTTAGAGAGCTTGTCTGCAAGTATCTGTTCACTGAATACACTATTCATCCCCCTTAACAATGCCCCAACCAAACAACCAGCAACTAAATCAATAATAAAAACCCTAAAATCTCTTGAAAACTGAATTGGACAAAGAAGTTTAAAAACTAATAACAAATGACCCAGCAAATAACAAAGTTTTGATCTTTTAAACCCTAACAATTCATCAAAGAGGACTGCAATTGCCAAAACTGATATATCTTCAAGAAAATGCTAATGAGGGAATAATGCGAATTGAACAAGGAAACAATGTGAAAACCCTAAATTTGGAAAGAAGATAAAAAAAACAACGATGTTGGGGAAAATCATCCAGAAAGTAGAAGATTTATCAATTTGAAAGGTTTTTTGGAAGAAATATCCAGTAAAAGAATTTTAGGAGAGAAAGATTTGAGAAAAGGTTAAACCCTAGAAATGCATTGCAGAGGAAAGGAAGAAAGTTGCAGAGAAGGAGAAAGTTGGAGCCATCTGGCGCAATCCATAAAACAAAATGCGAAAAGTCTTTTCTTGTCTAAACGGCGGCGCTGGATGAGTCTGCCCGGACAAAAAAAAATTTTGGAATTAATGATTTTTTTTTTAAAAAAAAAGTGAAATTCTGATTGTTTTGTAAAAGATTAAAAATACCAATTTTTTTATGATATGTAAATGTTAATTCACAAGTTTTTTTAAAAAAAGTATAGTTAGGTTACATTTTATTAAAACATATAAAAGAATTTGAAATAAATATTGACTTTTTAATACTTAATTTACAAGTTAAAACAAATTTTATTTGAGAAAAATAGGAGTTTATTTTTATGTTTTGACATAATTAACTACTTTGTCCTTGAATTTTAAAAATTTTATTATTTTATTTTTATAGTTTATTTTTCTTCAAAAAAATTATCTTTCTGTCTATTATTTGAGATTTAATTCATTAATGAATTCAAACTACAAGGATAAAATAGTATAATATTTAAAATATAAGGATAAAATAGTTAATTATGGAAAAAAATAGGGAAAAAATATTTTTTCCTTTTAATTCATATACATATAGGGTTAATCATATAATTTCGCTGACCTTTAACCACTTCAATTTCAAAAATGAATAGAAGGATAATTTTGTTTAATGGATCCAAACTATAAGGATAAACTAGTGTAATTTTTACAACAATAAAGTAGCTAATTATATTAAGTATATGGAAAAAATTATAATTTTTTCCATTTTATTTTTTACAATTATTAGTTAATGGTTGTCAGTTTGATACTTCAAAAATTTGTGTAATAGATTTGATGGTTAGTATTAAAATGTAACGTAAGTATTAAATTTTATATATATATATATATACATTATTTTTTAAGGTAATTACATTTAATAGATTTGATGGTTAAAGTATTAAAAGTAATGCAACGTAAAGTAGTAAATTTATATATAAGAAATTATTATTTTTTAAGGTAATTACATTATTTTCTATTTTGATAATAAAAATATTAATTAATTGTTTTAATTATATATAATAGTTATTTATTATTTTAAAAACTTTATTATATAAAAATATTAATATGAAATTTGAAATGCTTGCATAGCATGCATAAAATATTATAAGACGTTGGCCGGGTGATTAGCAATCTCAATGATCGCAAGAGTAAGAATATAAATTCGAATTCTAAGAAGCACTTTTGTTGGAGGCCAAAAACATTTATGGTTAATAAAAAAATATTAAAAGTTGTTGAATAGAGTTACAAAGGAGGAAGAATCTCAAGTTCAACCCTTTTCCAATTTTCATATTCTAACTTGTAAGATGTAAACGAGTCAAATCGAGCTCGAACTTACCAAATTTGAAAATTTAGGTTTGAATTTAATAGGATCGAGTTCAACTCGAAAAATTTTGAGCTTGAACTCGATTTGAGCTGAAATTGTTCAAACTTTTTTTGAGCCAAGATCGAACAATTCGTAAACCGGCTCAACTCATTTACACCCCTAATAACTTGTGTTTTTTGATTATCTATGATTGCACGCAATATACTTTATAACTCGGTATTTGTATTGTTTAAGCTTATAAGTCTATTTAAATTGCAGTATTACAATATTACTTTTATACTATTGTATATTTAGGGGGAAAGGGAGGGAGGTCATTTCTTTGTTACAAATATTCACATTTATATTTTGAAAATTACAAATTATCCTTTCATTATTTCTTCTAATTTTGTTCTCTTTATAACAAATTAATATTTTTTTAACGTGCGTGTCACGACCCGTATCCGTGGGCCGGACCGGCACTAGGGCCCAGGTAAGCTTAAGGCCCCCGAGGCCCGTAGTAAGCCTGAAACACTAAAACAACTAAAAATTACCAGCTCATATTAATTAAAACATTTAGCCCACAAATAGCGTATTGTATATGTTAATACACGACTAATTGAACAAATTCTACAAACGGCGGAGTCACTACAATAGATATACATAGATTTATTATATTACATCAAGATACACTAGCAAAATTTATTGTCTAAGAAAATTTACTTTCTAGCTCTGGCAACCGAGGAATAAAGCTAAACAACGAATAAAGAGTAAACTACTTCTGAAAAAAAAAAAAGAATAAACAAGAATATGGTAGCTTCTAGGAGGAATAACTATGAGCGACAACACACACAATTCAACCACAAATGTATAAATATATATATCAATACTAGTCATCACTAATTTAATGCCACGCACAAGTCACACAAAGCATTCACCAGCAACCACAAAAAATCACCTCAAAAATCATCAATCAGCGTGAAGATTAGTCAGTGAAAGTTCACCGAACGTGACGATTCCCGTCCGATGAGTCTGCCGTCCTCTACCACATGCTCACCCCACCGGTGCAACGCCAGGGAAGTCCGATGCCCCCATACGGCCGACCGGTCTAATCCCACCTGACCCCGCCTCTCATTGTTTTTCATCTCTCTTTCTTCCGATACCAACGAGGAGTACCGGTCGCTCCTCAAATCTAAGATCCAATCAGATCGCTCGACAACAGGAGGCCACCCTGCGGCTGCGACAAATCTAGATTACAGGGGTCGACCCAATAAAGAAACCAACCGTGGTTTCCATATCACACAAGATCAATAGCAGTAGTGCACACGGGGCGCGATCTCCCATTATTACACGCCGAAATTCTCATATCATATTCAGACCAACACATAGAACCCATCCACACCACACGTGACCCAACTTCATCCCAACCAACACAACAAAGCACAGGCAATACACAACATAATTAAATCAACATTGCAATAAATGCAAACAATGATCAGTGAACACAAATAGAGAAAGCACAAAAACATAAGCCAAATGCAATTAAATAATAAAATAAATAATACTATCATAAACAATAAGAAAAATAGCACTAATAAGAATAATATAAAAGAGAATAATAATAGATAAACAACTGTAAAAAAAATACAATAATACATAAAGAAATAAAAAGTACAAATGCAGCTAGATAATTATGCATCAGATTAAAGAAATCATGCTAAATAAACTTATTATTAAGTATTATAAAACTAGCAGGTTCAACCCGGAAATTCGGCAAGCAGCCTCCCCTAAAAAAGGAACATCTACCTCTCAATAGCACAAATATTAATCATATATAAAGCTCTATATTAATCAATATATCCATCCGTCGGGCAATCAGTCAGGCCTATATCCCACCTCCCCCTTCAAAACAAACGACATACAACATTCACCAATTAAGAACAATTATAAAACTCCAGCCAGACAATCACACAATATATAACTGTCTCTTTTTAACAATTAATCAAATAGAATGTACAGTAACAATAAAGTTAAATCCAACCCATATTTTTAACAAAAGCTCACAGGATCTTTAGCAATATTGCCAAAGTATATCAGTGTGTAATTAGGTCTTTGAGCTCGCAAAACCATACATAGCATCTCTCTAGCTATTTTCACAAAAAGAAAAGATTTACTCACAGATGCAATAAAACAATATATAAAAAGCTCAATACCATCACGAATGATTTCAATTAACTTCATTTAATCAGGATTTCATTAGCACTCTTAACAACAAAAAGCTCCTAATCAAAATAACCTGCCCATCATCTTATGTCGAGGAAATAAAACCGCAAATAGTTACAACTTAAGAAAGAAATCTAACTGCTACTGAAAGAACCAACAGTTAAAATTGAACTTAAGACCACACTCTAATTTAAGCAAATCAAAATATCCAACAAAACCAAGCAAGTTTCAACTAAAACTCATAAATCACCGTAATTATAACGATAAAATCAGAAAAAATATATAAAAAAGTAGAAGATCCAAAAAAGAAACTCTTAATCAAATTTCCCAAACCATGTCTCACACATTACCTCCTCACAACAACAAAAAACATAAAAAGATTTTCGCATACTTAGCTCGTTATTATCCTAAAATTAACTATCAAGATATAAGCATATTACATAAATAATTAAGGACTCACTTTAACTGTGAAAACACAAGATATCAAACATTAGACCAATAATTTAAATTAATCCAAACTCTTAACAGATTTTAACAACATCAAATTGAAAGCTCTTTAGACAAAGATAACAGCTCGATAATCAAATCTATATATATATATTAATGAGCGATATAGTAATTCATTATCATTCATCCGCTAAAATGTCTTTACTTTTTCTTATAAGATCCATGATAAAATTAAATAAATTAGCGTATTGGTTTTTATTTTTGTATGGGGTCCTCAATTATTACGTTAAATATCAATCAAGTCTCAAAAATGCAAATTATTACCAAGGATTGCCTTCAATTCTTCATAAAAATGGTACCGATGAATACTTAGCCACTGTTGTCAATGCAGACAAAGAGAAAATACAGGTTTTCTTGTAAACCATACATCTATAATACCAATTACCACCCTCTCACTACTATTACCACATAAAACAATATCACAAGAAAAACTAAAAAATATCTAAGATTAATGACTTAATTGCAAAAAATAAGCCAAACAAATATTATAGAAGGATAGAAGGATATCCCATCCGACCCAGTCGTGGGTCAGCACACGAATCGACGTTTCGAGAGATATTTGTGGTCCCGGAGTGATATCCAGCTCTCTGTCTTCCTTCCCTTCTCGTGCGTAGAAGTAGTCAAAAGAGCAGAATGGGTCGATAGTTGTTAACGGTAGGACTAGAAAGGCCGAATTCGGTTGGCGGCGGAGGGCGTTCCTTGCCGGACGTCTGAAAATGCGGGAGAGGGCTAGGTGCTGCATCTATGCAGCAGCCTTTCCCTGCGATAGACGCACAGCTAACGCACCTGAGAACAACAGAGGTGATGCGATGGAGAGCGGGTACAACGGGACCAGCGGGAGGCGAGGAGAGAAAACGCAACTGCTTCAAGGGACGGAAAGGCAAAAAGGAAAGGGGAGGGGGTGGAGGTCGCTAGCATCAGTGCGCTTTGGCTGCAAGGCAAAGGAGAAGAAAAAGAAAAAAGAAAAAAAAAAAAGAAAAAGAAAA